ACCCCCCCCTTCGCGATCCGTGCATCACGTCGCAGTGGCCGCTGTCGGTTTATTAAGTCGTTTTACCCGGTGCCGAGTACGTCCTCGTCGCGGGCAGGCATATTTCGCGTAGGTAGATAGGTAGACGTCCACGTCAGTCGAATCGGAAAGATCTTTTTTAATCTTCGTAATGACGTAAGCATCGTTGAATAGCTGATAGATGTGTACCGTTTTTTCTTTTTCTTTTTTCTTTAATCGCACACTCGCCGCAAATATGAATTCATAATGTACAATATACAGGGTGTTTGTTAATAAGCGCGAAAAATTTTAGGAGATGACGCGAAGGAATCTGTCCGTCTCAAATAAATAAATAAATATTTTTTATTCCTATTAAAATTCTTAAATATATGAGAAGACTATTAATTTTTAGGAGATGATTCTTTGTCGAAAATGAAAAGGGATTTTTCATATAAACGTATACTCCTACATCCATATATTGTTACACTCCTCCAAAAATGGGGATACAAATTTTTTATTTTTGTCTCAAATTTGGAATAAGTTAAAGAGAGTTGTCCACCTAATTTCTTCAACTTGTTCCAATTTAAGAAGAAAATAAAAATCTAATTTTTACCTCCATTTTTGGAGGAGTGTAACCCACAGGGAGGGATGTTATACGAAAAATCCCCCTTAATTTTCGACAAGGAATCATCTCCTGAAAATTAATAGTCTTCTCATATATTTAAGAATTTTAATAGGAATAAAAAATATTTATTTATTTGAGACAGATTCCTTCGCATGGAATCGCTAGATACAAGAATCAAGTGGCACGTGCCGCAGTTAAATACACGGTAATGTTGAAATTACATTGTCGCAAGGCGTTTGAGTGGCTCGTGGACCGACCTTGAATGATCGTACGAGACTGCCTTTTATATTCGAGCCTACGGTCGTGATAAATGACACGCTAATTATGCACACGTGCGGAGGACACATTGTAATCGCCTCGCAATCGTCACGCGCAAAGTTCACGAGGTAGACAAAAACCGGATATCTAATCATGCGAATAACTTGCGCATAAATCAAAAACACGAGGAAATTAACATTGCTGTTTTTTAATGCCCGCTAATTATATTTCACATTGGCTTTATGTCTGATATGCACGTGGGAAATAATATCCACTAGTCATGGGTTGGCAATGTATTTTGGAAATATTTTGCCTAGAGACTCGAGAGATTTCACGTTCTCGATCAACATGCGATTGCAAGATTATTTATTTATTTTTATTTTTTGTTTATTAAAAATGATATTAAAAAAATTAAAGAGAGAAAAGTATTTTTAGCAATTTTAAGTATTGTAAATTGAAATATTTTTATTATAGAAAGTTTTATATTTTATCAAATTTTTATATAAAAAATATCACGGTTTATATCTCGTACGAGACCATTTTTTTATATTCGAGCCTACAAATGACACGATTATTATGCACACGTGCGGAAAGCACATGTAATCGCGTCGCAAATTATTCGCATAAAAAACCTATTAACTGAAAAAAATATATTTTTAATCTTTGTCTCGGAATCACAAATGGAGCGATGACGGCATATTTTAAATCGAGTGGAACGACGTACTTATGTCACAAACGAGATGTTGCTCGCATAACGCATAATTTCTCATCGCTGAATGGGAGAGTAATCATCAAACTAATTTCCGAACCCTGTTTCCACGAAACAACTATAACATTAGGAATCCATCCGTCGAATCAATTTGATCAAGTGACAAGGCAATCCATGAGCGATTTAATGATTCGCTTAAACCGATTTCGGAACTTTGGTTCGTTCATTCGACGAGCTGGACCAAGATGCTTCAGGCACGATTCGAGGAATCGGTGTAAAATTATCGCTCGCGCTTCTTTTCCGGATTAAATAGAATCTCGGATGAGACGACATAGACAAAGAGAGCTCCAGCCTTGTTAAATGGACGGCGATAAAAACATAACTACCTGTCCCGTATTCAAGTGACAGCTTGGTCTCCTTGAGATCTGTCCTCACGTAGAGAGAAGACGGGGTCCTTAGCCTTACGCGTCGTGTTGGTTACATAACACACACGCAGCCACTCGCATGAATGAATACATTCATAAAGACAGCCCGGCCAGGCGCGCACGTCACACATATGCAATATTTACACGCATACGACATACAATGCGCGCGCGAGTAAGGCTGCAATCTCAATAAGAAAATATGTCTATTATGTTGTTACAATAACGATATCAATTCATTGACCGTCGTGGCACCGTGAACGCAGTTTATTGTCTCCAAACGATGGGGTACCCTGTGCATCATGTAAATCGCCTCGAATAATTTCGTCCCCAAAATCTGCAGCTCGGAAGAGAATCTGCCGGATCGATGCGTTAAATTTAATCATATTTATTATCAATTATTATTAATATATTATTCTCCTCTGGAAGAATTTAACGAATAAATTTGACAAAAATAGTGATATTAATAATGTTATTAATTTACACTTAATATAATGTAAAATCGTTTAAATTATTTATATCCTTTTCTCTGTATTTATGTCGAAAATGTGGAGCTGGGATTATTAATCACGAATAAATTTGACAAAAATAGTGATATTAATACGTTATTAATTTACACTTAATGTAATGTAAAATCGTTTAAATTATTTATATCCTTTTCTCTGTATTTATGTCGAAAATGTGGAGCTGGGATTATTAATCACGAATAAATTTGACAAAAATAGTGATATTAATACGTTATTAATTTACACTTAATGTAATGTAAAATCGTTTAAATTATTTATATCCCTTTCTCTGTATTTATGTAGAAAATGTGGAGCTGGGATTATTAATCACAAATAAATTTGACAAAAATAGTGATATTAATACGTTATTAATTTACACTTAATGTAATGTAAAATCGTTTAAATTATTTATATCCTTTTCTCTGTATTTATGTCGAAAATGTGGAGCTGGGATTATTAATCACGAATAAATTTGACAAAAATAGTGATATTAATACGTTATTAATTTACACTTAATGTAATGTAAAATCGGTTAAATTATTTATATCCTTTTCTCTGTATTTATGTCGAAAATGTGGAGCTAGGATTATTAATCACGAATAAATTTGACAAAAATAGTGATATTAATACGTTATTAATTTACACTTGTAATGTAAAATCGTTTAAATTATTTATATCCTTTTCTCTGTATTTATGTCGAAAATGTGGAGCTGGGATTATTAATCACGAATAAATTTGATAAAAATAGTGATATTAATAATGTTATTAATTTACACTTAATATAATGTAAAATCGTTTAAATTATTTATATCCTTTTCTCTGTATTTATGTCGAAAATGCGGAGCTGGGATTATTAATCACGAATAAATTTGACAAAAATAGTGATATTAATACGTTATTAAATTACACTTGTAATGTAAAATCGTTTAAATTATTTATATCCTTTTCTTTGTATTTATGTAGAAAATGTGGAGCTGGGATTATCAATCATCGTCTCGTAAAGATGATGTTAACTGTTGTTTAACGAGACGGAAAATCTAAACGAATCAAATGTTCTTGTGTCTTTGCTTCTGAAGACAATTGGTACGGTCATTCTCTATCACGGATCGTACTTCCTCCAGACAAACCTGATATATGATGTTTTAAGTGACGGAGCGCCCAACCAGTAATTGAATTTAAAGGGCGGAAGCGAAGAAATCTGGTCCCCTTTCGTATTAACCTAATCAAGCGCAGTTGTCCGGTACCGCCGACTGTCGCGGTCACAATAGAGACATTAAATTGTCAGTACGGATTTATTAAATCCACCTTATGGTTGCGGCCATAAAAACGTTTACATCTCCAATACTTCACTTCAATAGTTTATATCCGAATATCTCGATGTACGGTATCTTTTAGATGAGATAAATTTATCGTACGTCAAAATGGGACATTTTAATTTCTTCAATTTTCATCAGGAGCCCTTGAGTCTCTTAATCTTTTGCCAAGCTTACGATTGAACCTAATGAATCAACGGAGGAGCGCGCTTCCTTCCTGTATCGAAGCAGGTGCTGGCAGTCTCACGATGCTCTTGTTGCCGAAAATTATGCACGCCCGCTACATTAGCAAAGAGACTCTTGCGCATCGGCAGCTTTGACTTTTTATCACCGCCAGCGGTCAGCCGTTATAGCCGAATTGCCATTAGGTGTCCGATAATTTCGATATACGCCAACATCTCGGTGTTCTCGGTACGATGACTTGTCCACAATTTACCACGACCGGTGCAAGCGTCCCCTTTCTTTGGGGATATGCGCTCGTTCCTTATCACTAAATTTAAGACAAGTTTTTATCAATACTTTTTGTACCGAGCGCATGATTTTGGAGAAGTTAAAGCGACCGAAATAATGAGTTTGAGGCAATCTGTACGTATGAACGCAAAATCTCGAAAGAGAATTGTAAATTAGGGATTATGAAATTTTTATTAATACGGCTAATGAATGAAAAATTAATTTTGCAGAAGCATAATATTTATGAGCATCTTTAACGACAATTTTTTGCACCGGACAATCATCGAAATATGCGTACCTATAGATACATAATTTTTTCACTTACTTGTTTGCGCTTGAATCCGTTATGAAATCTGGGATGTCCTCTATAAAATACAAAATGTACCAAAGACAAATTTTAAATTGAATTAAATATTAAAATCGAAATTAAATTTGACGTTAAGCTTTGAATAAAATTACTTTCTAAAATTAATTTTTTATATGCTTATTTTGTGTATGTATGACTTACATCTTTAAAAAAAATTGTCCTTTTGTAAATCTGTTATAATTTAAACAAACAGTTTATTATTTTAAATAAAAAATTAATTATTGCAATAAACTTCATCTCAAACAAGATTATAAAATTAAATTTGCGTTATTAATAAGTAAGACAAGAATTATAATAGATAAGAAAAAAAGAAGTGATTGTATCTCAGCATAAGTAATAAGTAAGTTCGCGCGTGTAGTGAAAAATTTTTATTAAAGACAAAATTTCATACAATAAAATAAATTCGCACAACCGTGGGAAAAGGCACATAATGAATTTGGTTCTTGACGAACCACGGACGTGGAAATGGTACGTTTACCCGTATACAAGTGCGCATAGCGTACAAGATGAGAAGGATTCTATCTAAAAATGTTGATTTCAAACGACCTTGTAGTTTGGCGTCTCTTTGATGTCGATAATTATCGATATAAACATGACGTCCGGGAGGAAGATTACTATTTAAAAGATCAGTTCCAAGATTGTTCCAAGTGATATTTGGTCTTGCATAGCTTTTGTAATCGGGAAATACCTTCGTCCCGATTGTCGCCATACTTAGCCTCCCACGCGTCGAACAACATATTGTAGTATCTCGGAACATCAAAGTACTGCAAGTACTGGTGACTGGTGGTGGTAGGAAAAATTTTCTCGAATCTACCCAACTGCGTCAGTTCGTCCTCGTAAGTGATCAAGTGTCTGACATCGTCGGGCGTGAGATCCTCGATTATTTCATCAAGGTAGTCTTCCCGATTTCTCAGATTCGCGTACAACGATTGCTTGTGCCGTTCTTGATAGCTAAGTGTAGTTCGGTGCAGTCTGTAATCTTGGCACACCAGATCCAACTGGTATCTTTGGGCTAGTTTCTCCGCTTCTTCAGACGGTATGCACGTAGGCAATTGATATCCGGCTATGTTAAAGACGTTTTTAATAAGAGGCCCCTTGACAGCAATGTCCAGCGGCGAGGAAGACTGTAGGGAGGGCGATATATTCACCTCGAGTAACCACGGTTTCCGATTCTCATCCAAGAGAATATCGATGCCGAAAAGCTCATAGCAACAATACCTTGAAATTTAATAAAGTAAAACATATATTATAGAAAAAGTATGTATTAATTAACATAGGAAACTTGTTAAAACAACGTGAAAATATTCTACAAAATATTATATTATTCAATTATTAGTATTTTAATTTTTTAAAATATTATTTCTAGCTTCTACAACATTAAAAAACTTTTTATTAATTTAAAAAAATATTATTTAGCTTCTACAACATTAAAAAACTCACTATAAAATAAAACAATAGTATTGGATTAAAAAGAATAATAAAATTAATTTGATTAAAAAAATCAGTTATTCCCCTCACCTCGAAGTCGTATTGGTTCTCGTTAGAGTGTTGATGGGAGATTCGCCGGCTATCATCGTCTTGATGACTATGTCCTTTATAGACACCCAAATCTTGGCAATATTCACATTTTCCTGCTCGAGATAGGACCATAGAGTTCTTAGAGTCCACTTGTGACCGGTGCTCGAGTCCGCGCAGTCGTTGCTGGTGTAGGTCGCGCTGGTCTTATTAATGCTATAGTTGGTAAGATGCATGAAACGGTCGCTGAGGTAGTTGATGTCGTCGTTGTATTTGACGGAGGCGAAGCGCGCGAGGCCGTCCGGATAGATGTAGATCTTGAGCGGATTAATGCTGGTGATGAGCACGTAAAGGCGCAGGTCGAACTTGGCGCCGCGTATCAGCAACGGTCGCGACAGATATTGCTGGACGACGACGGCGCGTTTCTTTGGTATCTGCGACCAGCGATGGACGACGCGGATCCCGGTGCCGCGAGCGGAGGCCGGTGGCTTGATGATCCACTTCTCCTTGCCCCCGTTCTTCTCCCATACCTGGCGGAAGAGACGCAGGTCCTGAGGTAGCACGTAGGTGCGCGGCACGAAGCCGAACTCGCGCTTGCCGTACTTCATCATCATCCGGCTGAGATTGCGCGACAGCCGATCCTTCCGGCCGATTTGGTAGGTCCCGGGGAAGTGGTTGACCTTCTGCGACTGCTTCAAGCTCTTGTAGCAGGCGGACTTCATGTGCTTGCCCCAGGTGCCGCACCAGTTCTGGCACTTCTTCATCAATCGATATCCGGAATTCACGACGGTGCGACGCACTATTATCGGTGTTATCGTGCTGAGGTGCCACTTGAGGTGCCGCGCCACTTCGTACGGCAGTACCGGGCCATTCTTGCATTCGAACGACTGAAAGACGATGTAGGGCGCCACGTTGTCGAACAAGCTCCTGCGGAAGGGCAGTTTATTCTGTTTGTCGCCGTCGATCGACAGCAGGTCCCCGTCGACGTCGAGGTCGGGCACGCTCTCCTCGTCGTATTGAGTCTCGGCGCCATCGGTGCTGCTCGCGATGCTATTGGTTTCGTGTTGATTGTACGCGATTACGTCCATCTCGGATGAGCCTGGAGCATGCGAGAAAAAATTCGCCGTTCGCGACATCTTGATTCTATAGCTTCTAAAACATGTATCTTTAACTGTGAAAAATATAATGCAGATTCGTTAAAATAAAATGCAGATTAATATGGAATGTCGCTATTGAAGAAAATATCATGCAGATTCATTAAAATAAAATGCAGGCTAATATGGAATATTGTTATTAAAGAAAATATAATGCAGATTCATTAAAATAAAATGCAGATTAATATGGAATGTTGCTTTTGAAGAAAATAAAATGCAGATTCATTAGAATAAAATGCAGGCTAATATGGAAAATTAAAGAAAATATAATGCAGATTTATTACAATAAAATGCAGATTAATATGGAATGTTGCTATTGAAGAAAATATAACGCAGATTCGTTAAAATAAAATGCCGACTAATATGGAATGTTGCTATTAAAGAAAATATAATGCAAATTCATTAAAATAAAATGCAGGTTAATATAGAATATTGCTATTAAACACACTCGAGGAGCAGAGCTGATAGACTTAATCGAGATAAATTTAAATATTTATTGCGACTCAGTTCGATATAATATACTTTGATACGCTTAATTTTTTCTGAGTTATTATAAATAGATATATTAGCGATATTTTATCGCTAATTAATTATAAAATGTGACAACTTTGCCCGGAGCTATAATTATGGAATATCAAACTAGCTAATACTTTGTACATGCTATGAATATGCATCAAATATAGCTGCAAGTTATTAGCAATGCGAAAGAAGCAGGTGCAAATATTCGATTTACTTGTTATCGTGGAACAAGTAAATTAACATATATAACCTGATTAAAATTCAATTTCATCGGCGACTTCGTCAGAAAATAATTTTTTCACGAAGATATTTTCTCTCAAGCTTATCATTATATTTTATCTGATATTCCTTTTGAATAATTTTATAAAGTAAAAGTTTACTTCAATTACAATTTTTTATTCAAGATAAATTAATTCCTTTCAATGTACGAGTATAATAGCGTTCGATAAAATGTCGCACGATAAAGAGAAACACGATATACGTCAAAATACGATAAGAATTATAAACCAGTAACAGCATCGAATGCTGCATAAAACGATTATTCGCAATAAACACGATAGAAATTGAAACGTCTGAGACGATGATGTTACGCAGACGCGTCAACGCACGTGTCAAAAAACCTATTGTGTATAAGGCGCAAGATTAAATGAGAAAATTTGCGAAAAGAAAAATGTACGTACCAATTCCTATTGTTTAAATGTCAGCTGCCAGCATTATGATGATACGGCTACAAGCATCTGAAACATACAAATTGATTCGCCAATTATTATAATCGCCCAGAGAACATAATGTATGCATGACGCGAATGCATATCTCTTTTGAGCTATTTTGTATTGATAACGATGCTAAACGTTTCTTTGCGTCATGAAAAAAATAATGATTTTGAAAAGAAATATGCCAATATAAGTTTGCCAATATAAAATATAAAAATATAAAATGACGATGATTAAGTATATCACCGCGAGGAAATAATCAAAATTTACACCATAACAATAATCTGATTTCGATCGATTATTATTTTGATCGAATAACTTACACGAGTTAATGCGAGAACTATTTTTATGAATTTTGTGCAGCAAATCAGTTGACTTATCTTGCAATTTTCTTATTTTTCTGCAGAATTCACGTTACATTTATTCATTTTTAAAGTAAAATTAATATTTATAATTTACATGTAACAAATTTTATACGAGAAAAATAAAAAAATGTCGCGCAAAGACAAATAAAATAATAATACTTATACAATATATTACTCTCGACAATCGCAAAATTCGTATAACGAAATATTTATAACTTTGTAGCGGAATTCGTTTCAACTTTTACTCACAGGTTCTTCTCAACCAAATAGCCAATAGCCGATTAATAAAATCGATTAAATAATAAATAAAATCGATTAAAAATCGCAAGTAGACTCGTTACAGGAAAAACAAGCTTTATATTTACCAAGAATGATGTATTACAAATATTATCAAACATCAGTGTTTGAAGATTCATATTCATATAAATCTTATTTAAGTAAAAACAAAAATATTTGAAAATAGTTGGCGCTTTTTTAATAAATTAATTCTCTTAACCTTTTAAATTAATATAAAATTTAATTTAATTTAAATTAAATTAATTCTTTTAACCCTTTTCAGACTTATTCTGTTTCTGACTATTTCTTTACTTTATTTTTATTGTAAAAAATACCTTTGTCGAGTATTTGAACAGCGATTTGTTACAATTTAAATGTTCGCGAGAGTCAACGACCGGATCGTATATCTTGATAATTGCGAGCGCAATCTCTCGCACGCGAGTAGTGCGCGTCTGTCAATCGTACATTGCGCTTGAATGAGAAGCTGGTACGGTGAGTTTATTTCCGTTCGCATGCGATTGACTTTTTAACGTACGATCGCATTTTTAGAGGAGTAGAAACTAGGGATAAGAAGTAAAAAGAACGTCAAATTGCTACATAATTTGCGATCTTATTTTAGAAATTTTTCTGTCGATTAATCTTCTCTTGAAATTTATCTACATTTTTCTAGTTATTTTCACCACAACCGCGAAGACCTAGCTTTCATTATTAATAACAAAAATATTATCTTGTGAAATAATATTTTAATAAATTTTTAATAGATTTTTTTTAAATAAATTTTTAATAAATTTATTAAAATAAATATATATAAAGTTTTAATAAATTTTTTAAGTTTCTCCAAGAGATTATTCATTGACTATAAAGAATATAAAAGAGCAAAAAGTAAACAAGTATCTATTCTCCTGCAATAATGATTAATAGTTATAAAGCTAGATTTATGTTACACATTTTTTTAACATTTATTTGTAAGAGTATATAGCATAATATGCGCAGAAATCATGCCATATGATAATTGATACGAAGATGTCGAAGCAGACGTGCACGCACGTTGATATAAAAAAGTTCGATATTGTCGATTAATTCGCTTCGAAACGCGCGTTAAGTAAATATGCCAGCCACAATGTGGCAATTAAATAATCATTATCGATCGCGCAGTTGGCAGAATACGAGAGAGTGCATTAATCGAAAAGTAAAACGGGATCTGTCGAGAAGAAAGAGTTAATTTTCTTTCGTGTTCCACTTATGTAAAATCAAATTAACGCGCGATGCTCCAAGAATACAACCAAAAACGGGAAGACTCGAAAAAGTGTGAAAGCGTCGCGCCCATCGATCGATGGGATTGATCGATGACTTTGGTGAAATTTTTTCATTTATCACAAATTTCTTCTCTCTTTAAATCGCAATCGTATTGTCGGTAAAAAAAAATCATTCAATTAATTAGCGTGTTAATAATCGTTTTTGAAGAAATCCATTTTAAGTGAAAAATTTAATTCGCATAGATCGCTCTTCGAAAGTTACATCTTCCCATGTTAAGTGTGCACACATTGTGTTCCCGACGTCTATGGAGAATGAGAGAAATTGATTAAATCGTGTCTTAACGTTGGGATGTGCAAGAAAGTTTCAGTTCGCATATATTGAGCCACGTAAAATGCATTAATATTCATGTGTCAGTTTCGTCACCTCCGGGCTTCCTACCCGAACGGCGACGACAGATGACAAGTGGTTTTCGATTTCTTACAGTGTCGCACCGTGCGATTAAAGACCGCCAGTCAATTGTAGTCTTTTGCATGCGAAGGTGACTTGTTACAGCGTTCTTCTCGTCGTCGCGCTATATAATTTGAATGCGATTTAATCTTTTTGTGGCCTTCGCGATTCCCCGTGATTTTTTCGACGATGTATACCTATAGACTATAATGTAATACTTTTTACATTTACAATTGAATACACAGATGTAAATATTAATCTCTGAAATAAATACACACAGACGCGAAGGTCATAAAAATGTGATGAATCTGTGCGCGAGAGATTTTTTTATCTCTTTTTCTGGGCTATTTTTATCATTTACAATTTTGCAATAGTAACTTTGCATGTACAAAAAATATATATCACGCAAAATCATATGTTGCGTGCTTATAATGTATATTCTTATCCATTATGTTGCGTGCTTATAATGTATATTCTTATCCATTTTATTTGGAGTAAAAGTGTGAGATATTTTTAAAAATCTCAGTTGTAACTTTTTTCGTAAATTAATCAATATTTTTTGCTGATTGATATTTTTTAAGTAAAAATATAACAGGTGATATTCCAGAATTGCCGTTATTTATTAAAATTTATTAATGAAATGCAAAATTAACATATTTAAAATGAATAATTTATATTATACTACCAAATAATTTCTATAAATATATTGCAAAATGCTTTTAAGATTGATAAATAGATGTATTAATTAATTAATTGAAATAACATTAAATAGATGGGCTAAATGCTAATTCTAGAATTTCTTCTTGATTACATCTAAAACACATTAATTTTTATTGTGCTTATTAAATATTTCATTGACGGTCTTTCTGCTACAAAGATACTATTATAATATTATCTAAAATTTTCGTTGCTTGTGCAGACATTAAAATGATTTATCACTAAATTATAAAACAAATTTGAAGAATATTTCTTGAATAATATTACAAAAGAAAAATTGAAAGAAATTTGTTAATATTACTCGAGCTACAATCATTTATATAAATATATTGATTTACATGATATAAAATTAATTTATATAAATATATTGATTTACATGATATAAAAAATTATACATGTTAGAATGAAATAATATTCTTCTGCGTTATATATAAAATTAATAAAGGAGAGAAGGGTGTATAAATGGTAATTATTTCGACTTCATTGTTTATCATTGAAACAAGACGTTTATTGATGATCGGCTGCAACAGGATGCCAAACGGCATTACGTCGAGAAGAAATTCTTAAACATAACAAGTTAACATCTATACAATAATCGCTATGCTCTTTAGAGAAAATAGTCATCTCAGGTACAAAATGGAACCCTATCACAGACGTCACTTAAAGCTGCATTACCTATGTACAATGCGATAGATTAAACCCCATTACGAAGTTAATATAAAGTTCTCGACATTTTCAATGAGTCTTTACAATAAATGTCAATGTTTGGAAGACAGTCATTTTCCTCCTCGCGGCAACAGAAGCCGTCCCCGGATGCCTCAGGATACTCCCATCCTCGCTGATCGCATCACCAGGGTCTCCAGACCGCGTTGGACGACTCGGAGGATTCCCCGGAGGAGCTCGCGACACTGACAGGACTCTGAGGAGGAGTGTACACGTTCTGGGGCACGCTGGTCTGGCTGGCCTGGGTCGTCTTCGTCGCCGAAGCCGCCGCGGTTGCCAGCGCGTGTTTGGCGCCGGCCGGGCCCTCGAGTCGCCGAAGGCAACCCCCGAGGTGTCGCATAAGCTGGGCGCCGGCGGCGGGATGCACCGCCGCCGCGACCGGCGTCGACAGGAAGGTCGACACTTCCTGGGCGCACTGGGTGAAGCCGTCGCGGAATCGATCGGCGTAGCTGTTCTCCGGGGTGAGCGTGAGCCTCCTGGCGGCGCGCAGCGTGTGAAGATGACGTACCGTCAGCTCGAGGATGTCCGCCTTCTCCAGCTTCGCCACGTTCTCGCCCTCGGCCTGCAAGGCCGTCACCATCAGGTCCTTGAGCTCGTCCAGGCAGCGATTGATGCGGGCGCGCCGTTTCCGCTCCAGCATCGGCTTCATCACCTTGCGGTACTGATAGGTGCGCGACACCGGCTCCTCGTATTCCATGCCGCTGACGGGCGTGTAACTCGTGTGCGGCGACATGATCACACTTTTCGGCGTATCACTGCTCACAGAACGTGGGACAACCGAAATCACCCGGATCGACGAGCCGACCGAGCTCCAGGGAGATCCTGGCGGTGCCAAGTTTCGATCAAACTCTCCAACTCTCGAATGTGCGCTCGCTTTTCTCGGAGTGCCGAGAATGCGTCCGAGCCCGTACGTGTTCGTCAGGGTTCTGAGTCACTGGTGGGGTACAACCCGTTATTTATATACCAAGCGCTGGTTCCCCACCAGTGCCACGATCGTCCTACGCTCCACGGCCGAGAGGCGGAGGGGTCCGAGGGGTACGGTGCTGAACCCTGCAGCCCGCGTGTACAGCCAGCCAGCAGCCGTGGCGTATCGTGGGAAGCTCGCGAGCTGGAGCGTTCCCACAGATCGGGGGGCCTGCACAGGTTCTGTGCCGTTTGACGCCTGCCGACCGGGAAAAGGGGGGGCCCTCCTTGCGAGCCGAGAGAGCGGGCGCTCGCGCGCGCGCGCGCGCGCGGGAAGGGACACCTCTCGCTCACCGAGAGCACACCTGCATAGTGCCCTGGACGACGAGCGCGAGGCGCGCGGAGAGCGAGAGGCGAGGAAGAGGAAAGCACACGCCACGACGCGCGACCAGCACGAGGACGACTCGCGCGAGGACGATCGCGCCGGAGGTAGAGATTATCGTGAATGAATCTACGAGGAGAGTACGCGCCGCTTCGCGAGAGCTAGATTGATGCGCGTAATGAGAGAGACAAAAATTCCCCCCTGGCTTTTTAAAGATGTTTTTTACCTCTATTTTCAAAATATGGAGAATTTAATGAAAATTGTAGAGAATGTCCTTACATATGTTTAGAATCTTCAGTACAATTTTTAAATCGATTCACAAGTTATAAGGATTTTAATTTGCACCGAATTAACATGTGTTCTTATGGGATACGTATAATCACGTCAATTCAAATGACAAAAACACATGGAAATAATATTCAGAATTTGTTTAAAATTTGCACCAAAGTGGATATTCGTCAATATTTATTTTCAGCTACTTTTTGCTGGGATTCTACATACAAAACATCCTTAAGTCATATTATAATTATTCTTATTAATCTTCTTAAGGATGTTTTGTACCTTTTCAAAGTATTGAGAATTTAATGAAAATTGTACAGAATGTCCTTACATATTTTTAGAATCTTCAGTACAATTTTTAAATCGATTCACTAAAGCATTCACACGTTGTAGAATTTTAATTTGCATCAAATTAATATTAATATTATAATATGATATTAATATTATAATATGATATTAATATTATAATATGATATTAATATTATAATATGATATGATATTAATATTCGGAAAACAATGACTTAGAAAATTGATATAGCTTCCGTTCGATGTTTGATGAGCCATCATTACGATTTTATTATTTCGGTATTATTTTTATTTCATCATTATAATTTTATTAATATAATGCAATAAATATTAAAAAATACATCTCTGCACTGTAATTTTTTTGTCAATTTGCATACGGTTTTTGTTGCAAAGATTAATTGAGTAAATCGGATACATGCATTTATATGTAATAAAAATAATCAATCTTCTCTTCAAAAATCACACACGCAGCTAAGAGATACTCCGTTTGGTATCCCTTTTTCACGTATAATTTGATTAGAAATTAAAATATGTATATAAAATAATAAAGTAGAAGTATGAAGATGATTCCATTTAACATTTTCAATTGATGTAAAGGAAAATACTACTATAGGTTTGCGCATCCGTGCTCGGGGCACGACACTTGTTGATTTACCAGGTTACTGCCGACGTGGTGCACGTGTCGGCAACACTCCTGGCACTTGGCCAGAGTGAATCACGTCTTGGCGAAGCGAAGATGCCAAGTTGCGGCTGAACCAATTTGCATCTTTCTCTTCGCGTAGAAACAGTGCAAATAAATATCACAAACGATTATCCATTCTCTCTAATATTCTTACGTCATTACAAATATTCCATAAAATTATTGTACCTTCCGTTACGTTGAATTATACGAATTGCAATGTTGGAGAAATTTTTATTTGACGTATAAATAAAATATTTTTTTAATTAATAATCCTCTCCTATAAAAAAAGTATACGAAGAAGAGAAAGAACGGAATTAAACGAATGACGATTTTGGTTATAAATAGATTTCGGCTGCAATAATACCTTTCGATTCCGTGACGTGTGCGAGGAATGAAAATTCTATTCTTCATCCATATTCAATTATCGTTTCTGCGACCGAAAAAATTCCGATATTCTCTTCTATTCTACACACACACACACATGTATATATATATATATATATATATATATATATATATATATATATATATATAGTTCCCAGAATAAATTCGAATACAATTAACCTACGATCTCTTCCTGCTTAAAAGATTTGCATATCTCGGGAGAATTTTGCATATTCTGTTTGAGATTAGTCCAACATTTAGAGTGATCTCTTGGAGAATTTCCGATAACCGGTTCCGGTGCAATCGAGCGGGTCCGGGAGCCGATGTTTTGAATTATAAACGTACAATCTTAATGATCCACCTATCCTCGGACCCGTCCAGGCTTCGCTTGGGGAACTTAACGAGGTGTTCAGTCGTTTTGGAAGTCCAAACAAGATCTCGTCGAAGTGGGCCAGCCGAGTATTTACGAGCCATCGGGTTTAAAAGCAAGAGCAACTAGTCGGCAACTCGGATATTACTACGACATGTCACCTTCATTAGAAAAAATCCTCTTCCTCAAACACGTGGCCGCCGCTTAATTACTGATCTATTCGAGACTACGATTGATACCAGTGGAATTCTGTGGATAATCTTTAGGTGGACAATCAAAAATATTCTCGATTGAGAGACTCTTTCGTAAACTGGGATCCCCTTAAAGAAGATAAACCTGTCCTTGGATACGTTTTATCTAAAGTCTCGGTTTAAGAAGATAGCGCGAGAATCTAAAAATAATATTTTAGAATCATTCCTCGTATAAACACAATACAGAAATCTGCGCGGTATATTAATAAGCATAGATAAAAAATTTTTTAACAAATATTATATAATTCAATATTATTTATATTATCTTCAAATAAAATTATCACTTTTCTTAAGTCTTCAAATCTCGATATATACATCTGGCGAATCTCTTTCAAATATATCGTGAATAATTTTCATCAAGCCATCATGCGTATATGTCATGAATTTGTCATAATTAATTAATTAATTAAATTTATTTAATTTTAATTTAATTAATCAATTAATCAATTTACTAATTTTTTATTAATTTTTGCCGAGTGCAAACGTTTGTTCTTTCGTAGAGATGCTGCTCCTGCTACATCCCTGCTGATTCATCAATATCAATTTATTCTCTTCGTTATTTCTTTCGTTTTTTTTCTTTTTTTCCCCGAGATCGTATTTTCTGCGCGGCAAGTACGTTCTCATACGAAAATAAGGCAGCAGCGACCGCGATGAGTCGGTAGAAGACCGGTAGGATAATTACATTGATTGGTCATACGAGCCGGATGTGGCTTGGTACGCGCGGTACGCCAGTTAAGCCCCGACGAAACGAGCCTTATCCGCGGCGCTACCGCTGGGACACCGGGTACATATTATTGCCCCACGTTAACAACTCGTTACGCCCGCTCCGGCGAATGAAATGTCGATATTTCCGCCAGCGCGCGCTGGCAACGTGTCCTTACGTGATTCCCGACAACGGAGTTCATAATTCGTTTCTGAGTAGGATGATGAATTTTTTTGCACGCTCGCTCCCTTCCCCCCTCCCCCCTCGCCCCTCCTTCCAGCGACCGATTCGCAATAAATCGCGCGCTTCCTCATCGAGAGATCGAGGAAGTCTTAACCTCGAGAGAAGGATTACGCAACCGTTAACTCGATATTTCGAGCGCAATGCGTTTGTCGAACGTGTTAATTAGATGTGGGAGATTATTAAATTATAGAGTTTCCCCGAAATTTTTTGCAATCAATTTCTGAGATCGAGAGATATTTATTGATTAATAATCAAAATAGGAAGATATTAATTGACATCAATTTAAAGCACTTAATAAAAACGGGGAATCATTAAGCGACGTGGGAATAAATGTCGATAATAAAATTGATAATAATAATTTAATTTTTTATTTCGTTAAATTAATTCGATTTTAAAAGTAGGCTTTAGAATTAAAATATTAGGATTATCACGTTTTTCGTGTGGTTTATAATACAATTTTATAATCTCATTTTTCGGAGTAATCTTGCGATTCAACGTTACTCCGAAAACTGAGATTACATAACAGTGCGATATTCGCACAAATATTGCCAGCCGATAGCTTTTATTCACCTGGAAACACTGCTTGCCCCTTGGCAAATATATAACGGGCTCGGGAACGTAATAAATACCCGAGGAGAAACAATAATCGATACACGATTCGCGCATACGCCTCATAAACAAACATAGGGAAATACCCCGAGAAATAAGTGAGCCGATAAGCTGGTTCGATGCATCGTGGTGATCTATCGTATCAATCTGTATCGGATGAAAATAAAACGTTAATTATCACGGCCAATAATGGCCCCGGGGCCTTGCCTTTTCTTTCCGCGATGCAACGCGAATAAACAACGGACGTATTTCCCCCGGGCGAAAACAATAATCCCCGTCCCATCGCTTGGCGAATAACGGCAATATTTACCGGAATCTCTTCAGGGATCCTCGATCTCCTCCTCGTGCTCCGCCTCGATGCCCCAAGCCTCCTCGCGCTCCTCGACGACGACCCCGTCTGCCGGCGTGGAAAAAGGTACGAAGGTCGTCGATGCTAATTCGTGGCGCGTCGATGCACTTCCGGCATCTCCGTCCTCTTCCCTCGCTCCCAAAGGGTCGTCGGTGCTCTCTCTTCCTATTCATCGCCGTCCCTTTCCCCTCCCCGCTCGAGGTTATCCATCGTTTCCCTCCATCCCCTGTGTCTTCGTTTCCCGCCCTCTCTCTCTCTCCTTCTCCCTCGGCGCAGAATGGGTAGTCTGGCCTCCGAAATTCTTCCGGTTGTGTACTCTTGGCTCGTGCTACGGAACGTGGGAATGTTCTCAGGCCTATGGAAGTCGACCCCACCACGTGAAAACACGCGTTGCAACGGACAGCGTGTGGCGCGCCTAGCGATGGGATCGAGGCAAGCGCAGGCTCGAGCGAGAGAAATGTCCGACGATCGAAGAGTGAGTTACTTGA